CACCAAACCCCAGGATTTAAATAATTGAAATAGTTGAAATAATTGAAATAATTCAAACAGGCCGGATTTCAATTATTTCAATTATCAAGGCTACCGCGTGAATTGAAATAATTAAAATAATTCAAATCGGCCGGATTTGAATTATTTCAATTATTTCAATTATCTAAATAATTCAAATCGGTGGGATTTGTGCTTCGAACCAAAAGCACCACCTATTTGAATTATTTCAATTATTTCAATTATCAAGGCGGCCCCGTGAATTGAAATAATTGAAATAATTGAAATTGTGCCGCAGCCACCAAACCCCAGGATTTAAATAATTGAAATAATTGAAATAATTCAAATCGGTCGGATTTCAATTATGTAAATTATTTCAATTATCATTGCTACCGCGTGAATTGAAATAATTAAAATAATTCAAATCGGCCGGATTTGAATTATTTCAATTATTTCAATTTTTTCAATTATTTAAATAATTCAAATCGGTGGGATTTGTGGTTTGAACCATGGGTTCCCGTTTTCAATTATTTCAATTATCTGGGCCGCCGCGTGAATTGAAAAAATTGAAATAATTGAAATCCTGGGTTCCCGATTTCAATTATTTCAATTACTTCAATTATTTATATTCTCATTAAGTGTATAGGAAGGCAACAGAGCGTCAAATAGACCCTAGAGGCGCCTCTCTCACACATATATATATATATTGATTTCTGTAATTATTTGTCTTGTTGTTATTATTTGTTATTATTAGTATTGCTATTATTTTTATTGTTATTTTATTGTTATTCTTATTTGTTACTATTATCATTGTTGTTATTGTTATTGTTGTGTTATGATTATTCTTATTGTTATTATTATGATTTTCATATTATTATTGTAAATATTATTGTTATTGTTATTATTACCATTATTATTACTATTATTATTACTACTACTACTATTATTATTATTATTAATATTAATATATCTATCTCTCTCTGTCTATCTATCACCCCTGCTTCTGATGCTCCTAAACCCCCCCGTTGCTTTGGCTGAGCTGGCTTTGGCTTTCTCTTCGCCTGCGTTCAGCTGCGCTGCCGGCTGCGCTGCTCGTGGCACCACATAGCACGGTTCACGTTCCCGGCCGGCCCATGTCCCGCTTTTGGGATTTACGATGTCTACCACTGAAGCCAAACGCGAAATGACTCCGACTGACGAAACACAGTGGTACACATGCTGCGTCGCAACGTGAAGAAGGAACCGCCTTCGTCCCAGCACCATCCCTCGCCAAGAAGGCCTTGCTCGCCAAGTGAAGGCACGTGTATGCGGACACCGAACTCAGCCCCCAACCTCGCCGGGTCGCAGCCTCTGCCAAAGCCTGCACCTTGAAAGCTTTGGCTGCCAACTGTACGACTCGCCCACAGCAACTAACGAGGCCATTGCTCGATGGAGGTGACGAGCACCATCTGTAGCCCCAATAAAGAGCAGAAAGCGACGTCCTGCATGCAGCAGCTGCTGCTTCCTGATTCTGAATGTCAACCGGCGTGCTCCTCCATCAGTCCACGAAAAGTTTCCTGCATGTCATCTTCCAGCATGAAGGAGGGCAGGTGCACCACGACGGTCCCACCCCTGAGCCAGGAGGGACAAGTACAAATGTGGGCCTCCCAAAACCTCTTCACGGAAAACTTCACCATGTTAGACACTTCGCTCGCTGTGCCGTGGTACATATTTGTGTAACGGGCCTGAACGCCGCGATGTAGGGCGCCGCATTCCTCATCATGCGCGAGAGACCGGCCGTCACGCTGCTTCCCGACACACATCAGTCCTGAAAAGTGAGATCCAATCGCCTTCTTCCTGGCATCATCGTTCTGCACTCATCAATCCCGGTTCGGAAAGTCGGGCCTCTCTGTACTCCAGACCTCGCTCTGGAGGTACCAGTCGAAGTGACTCCAACGGAAAAGGAAGATCGGCCTGCTGGCAATCGCAAGGAACTTGAAGCATCGATGTGCTCTCTTGCCTCGATAGACAGTAAGATAGACAGTAAGACAGGGCCTTGCTTGAAAATTTATGTGCCGCAAATCACACAGACACACACTGCCCACCTTTGGAAATGCGAATCGTCCTGCCCGATAACTAACAACATGCTGGGCCTGCCCAGTGGCGGGTAGTGCTTTCAATCTCAGTCTAGTCTAGGCTGCATGATCTGCATGTACACCATCTAAACTATCACTGGGAGACAAATCATGCAGCACACAACCAAGCACAAAGCACGGCAGTGCTTTCGGAGCTGTCCTGTTTCGTCGAAGCTGGAGCGCGCCTGTGCAAAGAACCGTGCCAAGAGTCGTTCTGACGTGCCCTCCACTAGGAACACCCTCGTTTCGGCAAGTTGCGCGACCCAGCATAACAATCCCAGCCTGCTCGGCATCCTCAGTTGGTAGGCCAAGCCCGGCTTTTGCAGCCAGCACTTCAGCTTGCAACTGCCTGTTGGCTTCTTCTAACCTGCAGGAAGCACAGCTAGGCGCCAGGGGTGTCAACGGCTTTCCACCCCACCTCGCCACTTGGCGCTGTAGATTTTCCACTAACCGCCGGCTGGAAGCCGAGTCTGTGTCTGCAGCGCGGCGCAAGACCCGAGCGCTGACTGCGACACCGACAGTGATCAAAGCACCTGCAGGGTCGCTATAGTGTAGTGCATCGTTGAATGGTCAAGGTTGCTAAAAACACTGTTGCTTCACCTCGTGGAGGAATCGCTCGCGGCTTGCCGACTGGGCGTGCACGACTTGACGATGCTGCCGGGCTTGGCAGCCATGTTGGTGCAACCGTTAAAGGCGCACAGAACATGGTCTGTCCATCCGGGCATTAAGCACAGTTTCTAAAAGCCATAAGCAAGCAGATGCTGAGTTGCGCCATCGTGTGAACAAACGGACCCTATCGCAATGAATCTGTGCTGAATATCAGAACGGGAGACATTCACTGCACAGAACATTGATCCATTCAGCTTCATCAACATGAAGTTAAAGTATGTTGGAATCCTTGTATGCACCACCTTTCTACATGCACAGGTGCGTTCTCGTGCCTGAGGGGAGGACAAAGTTGCGCTGATGTTTGAGCCAGGCGACTTGCAACTCACCAGCATGATACCGCAGCAAAATGGCAAAAGCTGAGACTGAAAAGATACGAAACGATCACCTACATGTTCTCACTGAAGATTCTGCAGTTAGCAGTGTCACTGCATTTTCTTCCTCCCATAACGGATATCACTACCACCTGTGCAATAGTCACACCACCACCGACACGATGTCCAACTTCACTCTCACTTCGAATCTTCCCTCCTGCGAATCCCTTCCTGTGCTTGGTCTGGTCTCGTGGCCAACCCAAGTCGCCCACTGGGAGATCATGACCACAGCAGCATTCAACAATTACTTTGAGGAGAGGTAGATGGGGTGTGCAGCTGCGAAACACACCTTTGCAACAGCATAAAAAAGACTTACTTTACATCACGCTGCAGCTTCAACGTTTCGCCATTGCAACACTCTACTGTCATGTCACGACGTATATATTGCAATTGTGCAGACATTGATTCAGTGCATTTCAGTACCGTTCCATGTGCTGTAAGAAATTAACACATCGGGCTTTTTGCTGAGCAGCGGCGCCGCTGCGACTTCAAAGCCCCACTTGAATGGATTGCTACGTGCGCTGTACTGGGCTGCTAGAGCACAACACGCCTGCAGTCGCAACAACCACTGAAGTCGGCTAGTAGAACCTACAGAAAAGTGGCTCTGCTGAGGCTGCGTGTTGCTTTCCCCATTCACTGCACAACGCCAGTGAAGGCAATTCGAGCTTCCAGGAAGTTGACTTGCCGGGAAACTGCGACAAGAAAACTCACCAAAGTGCTGAGACCCAAGCAGTCATGCTCCCGTTGTGATGAGATCATACCCTCTGCGTCTTCAAGAGCACCACTCCGTCTGACTTGCGGACTTGCGTCTCAACCCGATGATGATGCTAGGGATTGGAACTTCCGTGAAAGCGCATCCTCCTGGCGAGCGGGAGGGCGATCAACACAATGTGTCAAGCGACATGATAGTCAATCTATGCTATAGTGTGATCACAAAGGTGCTCACCGCCTGCTGCTGCTCACGGTAGCGGCAGTGCTGCTGCTGATGCTGCTGCTGGTACGACGCCGACGGCTACTACCACCACGACCACGACCACGACCACACCCACCAGCTCAGCAGCATCAAAAGAGGCGAGGTCTGGGCCGGAACCAGAAGCTGACATGTTGGTTGACGCGCTGCGAGTGCAAAGAACAAGGTGCCCTCCTGCGCAAGGTGCTCTTTGAAGAGGTCCACGCGAGAACGGATGTCGCCGATGTAATCAGCCTGCAGGGAAAGAGATTGTTTGCGTTTGGACTCTGCCCTTCACAAGAATCCAGCACAGATTACCGCTGGGTTGGCTAGGTGATCTTGCTCTGCTCCAGTCAGTGGCCTTCATTCGGAGTATCCGGTCGAGGCCATTTACGTAAGCGTCGACGTCAGAGCCCGGACGGTCAACGTTGTTCAGGTGCACCATCTCCTCCTGGGCGACACGGAACTTAACACATATTGCAAAAAGCCTTCATGCTGCCAGCGTGCATGTCGTTCATGTGTTCATCCCTATCAACTTAGCCACTTTAGCCCCACTTTGGCCATTCAGGCAAGTGTTGCACCTTGATCAGCTCCACCATCATGTCAATGTGCTGACGGTGAGCTGTGATCAACTCCTGCAGAAGCATCGCGGAACAAAAAAGCACATTCTCCCAGGCGTGCAGCTCCTCCTCCTCTGCCAGGATGGTGCCTATGAGCCGGTCGTGTTGTCGAGCCAACCTGGCTGTTCGATTCTCATTTTTTTACTTAATTATTGTGGCCGTTCCTTCGGCGTCCAACCAGGCAAGATGTGTCCGTTGATTTGGCTTCTTTCAGTGGCTGGTTCCTCTACGTAGGCATGTCTCTAGCACGTCCTTGGGCACATATGCACATGTACATGACTATGCATCTGTTGCCTGTATTTGTGAAGATGCGAAGCATGCATGCTGGACAGGCAAGCGAGCAGGCAGGGAGGCAGGCAGGCAAGGCAGGTAGGTCGTTTAGTTAGCTTTCTAAGAAGGCGGGTCGGTTGTCGGTCGTGCGTCACTCGGTAGATCAACCTGCTTGTAGGAATGTAGGATGGGCGACGTACGCATACCCCATTGCTATGTCGATGCCTCTGCACTTTTGTCTTTCAGGTACCACTTGTCAAAGTTCAAAGTTCTGCCAGCCAGGCTCGTCCAAAGCTGCTTGGGAATGATCGGGGAGGCCAGCTGCCACCTCATTTCAATGCGGATGCACAATCCCCTTTGGAACAAGCAGCTAGCTAGCGACGTGATAGCCAAGATCCTCACTTCTGCACCCCTCTAGGCGACCGCCCGGTTGGAAAATCAAGATGTCCAGAGTCCGGGAAGTGCAGTCTGGGCTTCCAACAGGGTCCTGAACTATGGCCTGCTGCACCTGGGAGAGCTTCGGAGATCCTTGAAGTGTGTCATGTGAGAACCTGACCGGCAGAGCCCTTCAGACAGTGTCTCGCAGTCTGAGGGCGGCAGTGACCGAAGCGTATTTCACCCGCCCGTACACTCTGTCTCTCTCGTGCAACTTCAAGACTTGTCTAACCATGCCCGCAACTGCCCAACTTCCGACGCTACACGAGTCCGGATCGGGCAAATGTTGAGGCAGCATGCAACAACCGCTGCCGGACAAACACACCCTTGGGTCAGAGCCTGTGATGGCGGCTGCGTTGGCTGCGCTGGTTGCGGTGGTTGAAATGATGGCTGAACGTGTGTGTTAGGTGGGGAGTGCTGTGGTGTGTGGCATTGCTGCTGTGGGGCCTGTTGCTGTGGCGGACAGTTGGAATTCTGTGATGGTGTAGCCTGTCCAGCAGGTGGCTGGTGCTGAAGCTCTTTCTGCTGAATTTGCTGCTGCAACGGCAGTACTGCAGCTGCGGCTGCATTGGCCTCCGCAAGAGCTGGCGAGGTGCAAACTTCCAGCACAAGAGGGCACGAGCGGAATAGTCGAGATCTACATTCGGACCAGGCACCGCGGCAACTGCGTTGGCCACCTGCAGCATCGTTTCTCTGTTAGTCTTCTGCCCCGTCACATGCGAACCTTCGTGCTGCACAGCATGCTTTCCAAGACATTCCGCCTGTGCAGAGGTTGCCAATCGCTGCGTGCCGTTCCAACTGGATCCGCTGCCCTGGCTCGCAGGTGAAGCCTCTCACAGAAGATGGTGGGCTAGCAGCTAGCACACCAAAGCAACACTGCATGACACCAACAAGAGAGGTGGCATCCTGGGCATCGTTGCTGAACGCACGCCGCGATGGCTGCGGCCTGGCAGCGCACGCCATGCACAAAGCCTGTGCATGACTGAGATCACTCGCATCACCCGGGTCATATTCTCGCTTTCTCGTCTCTAGTCGCCCGGCAGCCCCCCCCCGAACCCGGGAGACCCGGGACCCGGGACCGGGAACCCGGGACCCGGAAGACCCTGCAGCCCCTCGTCGTGAAAAACGGCACATTAACTTGAACTGGCAGAAACGCACAAGAAATGTCAGCTGTACACAGAGGCCAGGAACAGCAAACGTGTCGAGAGGTCGGCTGGAGTTCCTCATCGCTGCTGTCACCTGCTCATGGACAACGCCCCCCACAACAATCCACCACGTGCTCTTCTGAGACCGGCACTGGAGTGATCCACCAGAAGATCGCCCTGCAGCCCATCGCATGAGTTTACAGAACTCTGGCCACCAGAGCGGCTAGCTCTAGGTTTGCTTCGCAGAAATTTGCCAGTGTGAAACGACATGCCAAGAGAGCTGCGCCACGACATGTTAAGCGTCTGCAGACACGAAGTGACATGGACTCTCGCGAAGTCACGAGCATGAACCTGTGGGGGACCAAGAAATCGGTAGAATAGCCCTGGATGCACTTCCCATCGCCAGCATTCCTGTCAGATACCTATTCCCAGCGTGGTACATTCTCAGAAGCCCAACTTTATTGATGCCAGTTTGACTACCATGGGGCAGTCGGAAGCAAACAGACCCTCCGTCGTGAGAAGCATGTCTGCCAGATGTTCGGATTCAGCTGATTCAACGGGTCTGTCTAAGTTCGGGTCAGCTTCTCACTGTTCGCAAAGTGCTTTCATGCAGAAAACCAGGTCCAAAGGGATGATGTACGGGATGTTCGCTCCTTGCGATTCCTCGCAAGGAGATACAGCCTGCCCGCGCGTCCCCATCCTCCACCCTCCACTCCTCCAACTCCACCAAATCTCTTGACTGCCATTTGCGGAAGGTATGTGTGAACGGCCGATTTTCTCCCGCCTGCCCAGCTGGACAAAACGAGTGTTAACTTGCTCTTGATGTCCCCTCCCCTCCTCTCCCTCCTCCCCTCCCCGAGCCTACCCTGGAGAAGGAAAAAACGTCTCACCCCAGAGATCGGGAGGCAGAGGCTTTGGCTTCCGAATCGGGACAGAGAGTTTGTGAAGCGACAGCCTCGAAGCCTCGAAGTCGAAGTGACAAGACATTAACCCCGCCTGCATTGAGAGGAGCTGCTGTGAAGTATCAGCACCGGGACCTGCAGATCACTTGATTGTCTGCTCGCACATCCGTAGAATGCTTGAAGAGCAAAGACGACACTGCACAAAGGGGGACATACAGATGCATGAAGGAGAGGCTGAAAGCCCGATGAACCTGGCCTCCCAACAGTCAGAGACTGATTTTGCACAACCGAGGTGTGCTCGATAACCACAAGGGGCCAAAGTGTGTAGGCTCCCACAGAAAGCACAACTCTCATGCCTGAAGCTAAAACCATGGACCCGACATCTGCCAACAACACAGACGCTTCACGGTCAAGACTTGCCAATACTTACAAGTAGCTAGAAACCTTGGCTCGCTTGACGCGCTGCCACCGGCTACAATCAGTATTTGTGGCCTGGTGGTGGTGTTACCACCTTGGAAGGAGCTGGTGCACTTCGCAGCTCCTTCACTCGGTACGCATACCTGGAAAGACACCCCAATGGGGTCATTTTAGGTGAGCGAAACTAGACGAGGTTCAAAAGAGTGGCCTGAGAGTGTTGAGCGAGTGCTCCACAGCACCACTGCACCTTGCTCAGGAGGGAGAGAACAAGCTACCAGCATCTCGTCCCTCCCTGCGCAGTACTTCAATTTCGTCCTCAAATGGTAGTTCTGCGATTGATGTTGCGCTACTCAGCCCCAACACTGGGCAGTGCACGGCGAGACATTCGCGATCATCACCTTCAGCAACACCAAACCATAGTGCAAGGAGGCGTCCGTCGAATGAAGGACTGTACCACTCAAGTCAACTTTGAACGCTAAGCCAGCTATATAAGCCAAACACCGTCCGACAGTTTGCACCAACGAAGGAGTCCTTCAAGACCTGGAGCTTGTAAAAGCCCATGCTTCAGGGCTGGAATGCTTCGCGGTGCTGCCTGCGTCAATTTGGAGCCTCGAAACGGTGTGTGGTCCAGCTGCTGATCGAGGGCTCGGATGCACTCCTCCACGGCTCAACTTCCCAAGTGTTTTCAAGCACAGTAGCGAAGATCTGGTGATATCCAGTCATATGCAAAAGGCATGCAGGCATGATTGAAAGCTTGACAACATAATAAGTGCAAACCCCTCAAAATAGAGGTACGTCTCACGCATGAGGATGTACATGTCCACGTGCCCATACCGGGGAGATCATCGGGCCATCGGCTTGTTTAGCTACATGTCGCCTTGAGCGCAAGCAAGGACTTGTTGATCTCGGCGCCGTCCATACGCGTCTGCCGAGGAAACGGAGGGCAAACCAGTTTTTCGGCTGCGCAGCGAGAGGCCTGTCGGTCGGTGTCCAGGGTGTCTGCACCACGCTCACTGCCGGCAAGGTCAATGAAGGAGATCTTCCCGTGCTCCTGAACGGCCCGAACATCACAGAAAGGCTCACTCCGGCTCAGGTTTTTTGCTCAGGGACGCCGGCGCCTCCTTGGACTCCAAGTCCTTCAAGCTGATCTGCAAAATGGCGTGGGAGCGAGACCTCTGTAGCTTATGAACGTTCAGACTTTGGAGATGATCATGGACCATGGACATCTTCAATGGGGTCCCAGGTTGCGACGAGTCTACGTTGGCACCGGTCACGCCCGTTGTCCGGCTGTTGAGGCCGAACTCGATGACCTCACAAAAAGCTGCTGTGTGGCAGGCTTTGCTCTTCACACGCATGTACAGTTGAGGGGCAAACCTCCATCAGATCCTGCACATTGCCCACGGGATGCTCCTGCAACGAGAAGAACATTGCAGCATAGGCATAAAGAGCAGCGAGGACTACCGAAGATCCAACATCGTCACAATCTTCGCAGTGATCTACACTGCCAATCGCTCGCCAAAAGAACACAGTGATCATTCTGATCCACTCCTGCAGTCCAGCAATGACAACGTTGCCTTTGGCATTCTCGCGGGCGTGCAAGATCTGCCTTTGCAGCCGTCTTACTTCCAGAACCACATAAGCCAACCAATACATCGAATCGAGCCTGTTGTTCAGGAGATCGAAAAGCTTGCCACAGTAGATCTCATAGAAAGCGATGAAGACTCCAAGGTGTGAGTAGTCCTTGCCCAAGGCTTCAGCTCAGAACTCGAACGGCGTTTCCTGTTGCACGTCTTTGCCAGCCTTGCTCGCAACCGATCTGAAGATGTCCTAGCGAGATCTGTGTTGTTTGACTGTGGGAATAGCTGGGGAGCCGGCCTGGCCTGGGATGCAAGTAGGAAAATCCCGGGAGTTCGCTCTTCCGGGGCAAGGTTCTCGACCTGCTTTCATGATCGTGCCAAAGGAAGCACCACCGCAGGCTAAATGCAGCAACAATTCCAACGCTATGTCACCAATCGGCCGCCCTTTGCACTCCACGTGCTAATTTCAGCTGTGACGGCGCACCAACCGCTTGGGAGGGCCCATCATCGTGAAGGTCTTCCCGCTGCCTGTCTGACCATACCTCCCACAACTAGCACCGCTCGATCTTCTCACAAACTCTGTTGCCCTGAGCATGGCATACCTTGGCCTGTGCTGCACTATTTGCAGCCAAGGCACGCAAAGCAAGTACACTTGGCTCGATGAAAGACCTGATCAGCACACACATGCACACCGAAGAAGCTGTTACAAACAAAGACTAGATTGATGCGGAAGGAGAGCGATTGAAAATTCCACGATACTCACTATACAATCAAACAGCTAAGACCAACCGAGGTCAGTGAATTCCCGCAATCCACAACACAAACAGGCAAGCATTCTTTTATGTGACCAAGCCAGTCTTGTCCAGTCCTGAGCCAGATGCCATACGGACATTGTAGCATTCGATAATGCATCATGATATGAACATTCCGTGGTACATTGGGCTGGTTACATTTAACACAGTCCCTTGGTTCTGAGTTTAGTTGAGAACCATTCAAACAATTAATCATCAAAACTTCTGGTCACTTTTGGCTCGACTCAGCTAACGACACTCGATGCAGTCGGAAGCCAGGTTTGCACTGTACATGCAAACGTGCAGACAGGCGGCTCATGCTCCATTCACCTTGAATCGGAGAACTTCATCTCTGCAACCCACAGAAGAAGTCCATTCAACGTGTCAACATAAACTTCACATCAAAACAGTTGCAGTCGCAAGGGGCACTCCTAAGAATTCATTCGCCTGCTCAGTGCGATCTCACTTCACAGTGCCCTTGTGAAAGTTTTAAACCAAACTTTAAGGTTCCCTTGAATCACCGGATCACACTTTGACTTTTCCACAGACGGCGCTGGGCAGTCTACGGTCTCCTTGAGCCTACATGTAACGGAGTGAAACATAGTGAATTATGCTACAAAAGGGACTGCACAGAAAATTGAAATGTTTGTTACGCCCTCTTCGATTCAAGTCCTTTCTGACTTGACCCGAACTTCAAACATTCGCTGCTTTCACTTTTCACAAGCTCCAGCTGAGCGTCTCCATTGTCACACGCTCCATAGAGCCATATCAACAGACATATCTTTTCTTCTTCTTCTTCTTTTCTTTGGTGCTTGTCGTTGATATCGTCGTAAGTCCTGTAAAGAAAATTGTCGCAATCAGCAGTGAAACGTACTACACTCCTTTCCGAAACTAAACTCATGCACGCTCTCAGTTTTGCATCGCGAGGTCGCGGTTCGGCTCATAGTCCGTTTGGACATTGAGGTGTAGGCATAGCTTGCCATTCGTTGTGCTCGTAGTGACTTTTGTCGTGGCTGTCGAACAGCTTTGCTTTCAGCTCGCACTTTCCTGAGCTTTAAGCTTTAGTCAAGCTCTTTTCCGTTGAGCTGACTTTGTGGTAAAAACCTTTACACGGCTTTCTCTTTTCGCATTCTTGTTCACCCTTCTCGCAAGTGAAACCGTAATGTACATCCATTCCTCGCTGGATTTATTACCCTGTGGCGCGAGCTCCACAGCTTCGAATTTCCTCACACATGAATACCGGCATTTTGTTCGGCATTCACTCTGTATCCCGGATGTCTTTCTCCGAGTAACTCTGCTTTTCTGGGCTCTCGTTAGCCCTTCTCTCTTTCTTCTCTTTCTTTTCTTTCTTGTCTCTTTTCTCCTTCTTGTCTTTGTCTTTGCTTTCCTTTGCCTTCTTTGGCATCTTTTTCTCTTCCGGCCTTCCATGCGTACCTTTGCTCTGGGCCGGCTTTTCTTCTCCCCATTTGGGATTTGGAATGATTGATTCCGTTGGTAAGCTTACCGGCGCCGTGAAGATATCCTGCTTGGCGCTTCCGCCAGTTCTCTTCTTTTCAGCTGCAGAACTTTTCGGCTCGCCGGGTTTCTCACCTTTCTTTTCATCTTCAGCTTCAACATCAATCACTTTTCCTTCTCCCTTTGCTTTCTTTGCACTTCCACCATAATAACTTTGACTTTCAATAACCTTCGCAGCTTCATCATCATATTCCTGCTTCTGCTTCGGACTCAAGTCCAAATACAGAAAGCACTTTTGATAGGTGTGTGCATTCCACCCCGGGTATCTGGTTCTCCGGGCACTCCTATCAGTTGTATTCTCCGGCAGCAAATCGTATCCTTTGCCCTTGTCGTAGCATACTTGGCAGTACAAGTCTGCCCGCTGCTGCTGCCGTTGGCTGCTTGCAGGGATCTTTTCCTTAGGAACATTCCGGCGGCGGACCATCTCCCACATACTGGGACAGTCTTTGGCTTTATGCGTCCGCGCCGTGCAGAAAAAGCAATGGAATTGGCTGCTTTCAGCCGCATCCGATCCCAACATCCACCTTGGGTTGATCTGCCTTTTCATTATTTTCATTCCTCCCTTTTCACCTTTTCCAGCCGGGCTTCCAGGATCTCGCTCTTTCTCTTTTCTCTCCTTCTCCTTAAGGACGTCTGGCGCGATCTTCGGCTCAGGCTTGAGCTTTGGAGGAAATTTCGGTTCGCTCGGTTTGTCCGAGCCTCGCACTCTTTTCTTTTCTTCTCCTTCTTCATTCTCACTCAAGGATACTCCGCTTCTCGGAGTCACCGTTCCTCCAGCCATTTTCCTTTTATTCATCATCATTCTCAGCATAGCCACTTGAGGATTTTTCTCTTGCTTTTCTTCCTCTTGAAACAGTCGATTCTTCAGCTCTTCATCCGAGCCCGTCGCGGCTCGACATCTGTTCCACAGTGTCTCGCAACATCAACAATACACGCTGCGAGCAATCTAACGTTTCTCGGACGGTCTTCCGCCCTGCTTGGAGGTTTTCGCCCTCACTTGCAATATTCTTCACTATCTCGTCATACTCTGCAATCTCATTTTCAGCCTCCAACTTCCGCAATTCAGCTTCAGCCTTTTTCGCCAATGCAGCCTCTCGCATATTCATCGCACTTTCTCTCTTCACGAGATTTTCTTCAAGTTCTTCTTCCGTACGGTCCGCTGTCTCCTGCAGTCCTTGTGTCCAAGCTTCAAATTCGCTTCCCAGCTTTTCCAGCTTTGTACCGTACCCATTCGGGAGATTTTGTACATTGTCTTCCAATGCCACCAGGACATTTCGCACACTCGTCATTTTGTCCTCTTCTAGCAATGCTGCGACTGTTGCGTCCGTAATACGGTACGATTCTCGGATTGCCTGGGCCAATGACATCTCTTCCAACGGATCCTCTTGCAGCATATCTATATCTTTGGCCTCCGTTTCCTTTGCCGCCATGTCTGCCTCCGATTCCTTTGCCGCCATGTCTGTCTTCGATTCCTCTGCCATGTCTGTCTTTGGCTTCCTCTGCCACAGCGGTCTTTTCTTCTTCCGCCACAGCTGTCTCCTCCGTTTTCTCTTCTGCTTTCTCTTCGGCACACTTTCCTTTCTGCTCTGACTCATCCGAGCTGTCGCTGCTGCTCGGCTTGCTGGCTTGAGCTCGCGCTTTGCTTACGACGTTTCTACGCCGCTCCTTCGCTGCTTCCTGCAGCTCTACCAATTCGTCTTCACGCTTTGTCGTCTGTTGCTTTTGTGGATCTTCATTCTCTTGTCGCTGCAACTCCTCTGCCAAGTGTTCGTCTGCTTTAGATTGCAGCAATCTCTTCTTTAGCTCTTCTTTCTTCTTCTCTGCTTCTTCTTCGGCTGTTACTTTAGACGCTTCATCTCCATCATCATCATCTTCGCTGCTGCTACTACTTGACGGGTCCGTCCCGGCTTCGTCAGCCGGCGTCGGCGCATCTTCACGGTACTCCTCATTGAGCTTTTGGACAAGGATTTTTAACTTCTCCGGGTCTTCAAACTCCTCGCTGCCCATAACTTTCAACCATCTCTCCATCACCGTTACCGCCTGGACGCACTTGCAGTCCTCCTTGACTATTCTTTTGAGCTCTTCCTCATAGCTCTGCAGGGACCAAACCCCGCTCTTGAACTCCAAAGTGTTTTCTCCTTCACTGCTCATCTTTCTCTTTCCCTTTTTCTTTTTCTTCCACTCTTCTTCTTTCCAACTTTTCTTCTCAATCTGCTCTTGAGCAAAACAGCTGCGGAAAGTAGAGGTTCGCACAGACAAATGAGCATTCCTACTGCAACCATGCAACAAACAATGCAACTGCTCAGTCCTCTTCCTTTCTCTTCAACTTCACCTCTATCAGCTCCACAAGCTTCACCAAGTCCAACCTATACAGCCATCGTAACTGCTTGAATAATCCTTTGCAACCTTCCTTCATCCATTCTTCTCTTTCCTTGTGCCATTCGCACATCAGCTTCACCATTTTCAGCTGTTTCACCTTCATCAAGATAATCACCAATATAGCCAATTGTCAACATATACTTTCGTATCTTGTCTCTTGTCAACGACTTTGTTCCCAGATCAGCTGGGTTGTCTTTTCCTTTGATCGGCTTTATCTTGAGGTCATCTATCCGCTGGATCCACAGCAGATCAACGTCCAGATGTCTGGCCTTGCCAAGACCTTTCCTGACAATCAGCTGCCTCGAACTGCTCGAGTCTGAGTACAACACCATCTTTGGTTCCTTTCCAAGAATTCTTGTCAACAAACTTCTCAGAAACACAGCTTCTGACAGTATTGAAGTAGCTGCTACCGTTTCAGCTTCACAGCTTGACAAACTTATACACTTTTGACGTTTGCTTTGAAAGTGTATCAAATTCCCGTTCAGCATGATAGCTCCACAAGAAACACTTCGCCTACTCTCTCGATCAGCTGCCCAAGCCGGATATCACTTCCAATGAGCTCTCCTCTTTGTAAGGATCTCTTTCCTTTTCTTCACTCTCTTGAACATTTCTGAAGCTTTTTCCTGGGTAACTTTTCCTGTGTACCAACGTAACCTCAGGCGTTCCTTTCAAGTACTTTGCAACGTGTCTCAGCATTTCCAGGTCGCTGTTCGTCGGGCTTGCCAATGTCGTACTCAACTTCTTCAACACATACATCACATCAGGTCTTTCTGGCGCGAGATACAGCAGTATCCCAACACCCTTCCGATACACGTGGTGCAGT